CACCTCGCTGTTCTTTTTTTTCTTTTGAGACAGGGGTTCTCTCTGTAGCCCTGACTATACTGGAACTTATTATGGAGACCAGGGTGGCCTCAAACCTGGAGATCGACCTGCCTCTGCCTCCCAAGTGCTGGCATTAAAGGCACACACCACCACCATCTGGCTCACTTATTCCTTCCTTCCTACTTTCCTTCCTTCCTTCCTCACTCCTTCCCTCCCTCCCTCCCTTCCTTCCTTCTTTCCTTCCTTTCCTTTCCTTTCCTTTTTTCTAAGATAAGGTTTCTCTGTGTAACATTGCTGACTTTCCTGAAAACTCACTTTGTAGACCTGGTTGACCTCAAACTCACTGAGATCCACCTGCCTCTGCCTCCTGAGTGCTGGGATTAAAGACACGTGCCACCGCTGCCCGGCTCTCTTTCTTTTTTTTTTTTTAATAAAATTTGGAACGCTTCACAAATTTGCGTGTCATCCTTGCGCAGGGGCCATGCTAATCTTCTCTGTATCGTTCCAATTTTAGTATATGTGCTGCCGAAGCGAGCACCCGGCTCTCTTTCTTAAAGCTTTCTGTGCTTGCCAAAATCTTTAGAGTGAAGGAGTGAACATTTATAGATTAGATAGATAGATAGATAGATAGATAGATAGATAGGTGAGATGTGGTTTTATTTATTGCAGCACTGAGGAGATTGTGTGTGTGTGTGTGTGTGTGTGCATGTGTTCTTTTGTGGCTTATGAGGCAGTATCTCTACATAGTTATGGATGTCATGGAACTCACTTTCTACCAAGCTGGCCTGGAACTCAGGGATTTGCCTGCCTCTTCCTCCAAGTGCTATGACTATCATGAGCTACAACTCCTAGCAGAATGCAAGGCAAGTGCTCTACAATTCTATCCCCAAATCCTCTTTTTATCTTTTATTCTGAAAGCTGGGCAGTGGTGGCACACGCCTTTAATCCCAGCACTCAGGAGGCAGAGGCAGGCGGATCTCTGTGAGTTCGAGGCCAACCTGATCTACAAGAGCTAGTTCCAGGACAGGCACCAAAGCTACAGAGAAACCTTGTCTCAAAAAACAAAAAACAAACAAAAAACCAAAAAAAAACCCCGTGTATATCTTTCATTCTGAAACAGTACCCATCTCTTTGAGAAAGGATATCACTTTGTAGCACAGACAGATCTGGAACTCAGTATGTAGACTATCCAGGTCTTGAACTCACAGAGATCTACCTTTACCCCCAACCCAAGTGCTGGGATTAAAGGCGTGTACCACCAGCCTTGAATTTTACTTTGCAGCCCAGACAGGCCTGTCTCAATCTCCTGAGTAGCCTAGTTTATCATCTGCACTAAGAGGCCTGGCTGAGAAATGCTGGGGTTTTTTTGTTTGTTTGTTTTGTTTTGAGACAGGGTTTCTCTGTAGCTTTGGAGCCTGTCCTGGAACTTGTTCTATAGACCAGGCTGGCCTTGAACTCACAGAGATCCGCCTGCCTCTGCCTCCCGAGTGCTGGGATTAAAAGTGCGCACCACCACTACCAGGTCTGAGAAATGCTCTTAATAGGTAATAGGTTGTTGACCTTGAACACGGTTGTCTCCTATTAGCCTCCTGAGTACTGAAATTAAAGACCTGTGTTTCCATGACTGACCTATTTATACCTATGCAATCAGAAAAATATATAAAACGAAGAGGGTGCCGTTCAGTTATATAGCACTTAGCGTGTGTAAGCCTCGGGTTTAAGTCCCAGCACTGTAAAAACTGAAATAAAATCTTCCTGCTGTGTGGTGGTGGCACATGCCTTTAATCCCAGCACTTGGGAGGCAGAGGTAGGTGGATCTCTGTGAGTTGAAGAACTACAAGAGCTAGTTCCAGGACAGGCTCCTAAGCTACAGAAAAACCCTGTCTTGAAAAACCAAACCAAAACAAAACAAAAAGAAACAAATAACAACAACAACAACAACAAAAAAAAAACCTTCTGGGCTAGGGCTGTAACTCAGCTGAGGTAGAAATTGAGGTCAAATATCTGCCCAGTATTCACAAAACTCTGGGATTGACCCCCAGCATAGCATAAAACAGGCATTGTGACACACATGTAATCCTAGGTAAAGACAAGAAGATCAAAAGTTAAAAGTCATCTTTGGATACAAACGGAGTTCTAGGCCAGCCTGAGTTACATAGCAAATTCAAAAACTACCAGACTAGGGCAATAAGACCCTGACCCAAAGCAGAAAAAAAAACAAACAAAAACAAAATCTCACTCAAAACCAAAGATTTGCGGGGAGGGGGCTAGAGTTTTAGTTTCATAGTAAAATTTGCAGAACACAGCTTTCTTGTATAGCTGGTGTCCCTGCACACACGGCCTTTCCAACTGTCAACATCCAGGGCAAGACAGGTACATTTGTTGCAATCCATCAATAGACATGGATGCCTATCAGCACTAGCCAAAGTCCATGGTTTACATTAGCACTTACTCTTAGTATTTTACATTACAGTTGAATAATGGATGTTGACCTGTATGTACCATTAGAACATCACGGGGAGTGATGGTAGTTGTAGAACCCCGTGTTCCTTGTCATTAGTTTTCAAAACTGTATTGATTTTGTGCGCCTGTGTGTGTGCATATGTGCTGCACCACAGGTGTGAAGGTCGGAGGACAACTTGCAGGCCTAGGTTCTCTGCTATTATCTGGTCCCCTAGGCTTCACAGCAAGAGCCTTTGCCCGCTAAGCCATCTCACGACGACCCCAGTTGTCCTGTAGTAGGACTGCAGTTCCAGGCTGGCTTCGAACTACATGGAGTCCTCCTGCCTCAGGTTCCCTGTGTGTGCTACCACACCCAGGTTTTGTTTTTTGTTTTGTTTTGGTTTTTGGTTTTTTTGTTTGTTTGGTTTTGGTTTTTCGAGACAGGGTTTCTCTGTAGCTTTGGAGCCTGTCCTGGAACTAGCTCTTGTAGACCAGGCTGGCCTCGAACTCACAGAGATCCCCTTGCCTCTGCCTTCTGAGTGCTGGGATTAAAGGCATGCACCATCACTGCCCGGTCAGCCTTTGTTTTTGTTTTGAGACAGGGTCTCACTGTGTAGCCCAAGGTATTCTCAAGTTCATAATTCTCCTGACAGCCTCCTAAATCCTGGAATCCCAGACCACTATGGCAGATGAGAACTCACCCCTCCCTCTCAGATGGTCTGACAATTAGTGATGAAGCATTCTACCACTACAGTAGCCGAGGAGCCAGGCCCACCGGTGTTGAGGGGGGCAGACAAAAAGGAACTGGGTGGCCCAACAGAAAATACAAAGGCAGTACAAAGAGAAATAAGCAGAAAGTGGGAGACAGGTGCACAGGCTACCGATTAAGATAAAGCTGGGTTTAGGCAACCTACACTGAAAAAAATTACATTTATCTCCGATAGAGGAGAGAGTAAAGACAATCTCAAGTCTGATAGGGGAAGCTAGGAAAAACAAGGTTTCTGTGAAAACGTGGGTAAAACTCCCAGAGACTAGGCTTGGGAAGGCTTTATGTGGGAAGGAGGAAAGGCCAGAGGCAGGCTAGAGGGGCAAGGGGCAACACTGGACTCTTTTCTCGGCCGAGTTTCTAATATATTTAAGCTAGTCAGTGCTGTGCAGCCCTTAGGAACTATCGTGGGACTGGGGGAGAGGGGTTGTAAAGGGCCCTAGCATGAGGCCTGAGAATGAACACTGGCACTTACTCTTTTCTAAATCAGTAGACCTAAGGTAAGTGGTCCCTACCCCTACCCTTCTTCTCGCCCTAGCCGTAGCCACGCCCAGGGATCAAGTAGGATCCCTGGAGCCCGTGTTTGCCTGAATGCTCTAGAGGCAGAGACGGGGAGACAGTGAGGAACAGGGACAGACAAGAACCGAAAAAGAGGGTAAAGGGAAGGAAGGACAGTGTGCGTCCGTGTGTGTGTGTGTGTGTGTGTATGTGTGTGCGTCCGTGTGTGTGAGAGCACGCACGCGTGAGCTCGCGAGCTTGTGGGGGGGGGGGCGCACGCGTGAGCGCGCGAGCGTGTGTGTGTGTGTGTGTGTGTGTGTGTGTGTGTGTGTTGGGGGGGTGGAAGCGTCTGGTGAGGAAAACTATTCAAGAGATAATTCAAGCTCCTACAGTAAGATTCAGTGAAATGATCCCAGAACTTACCCAAAGGCCATGGAGGGAAAAAGGGGTGTAGCCTTGCAGAACCTGCTTTGGGGGTCATCAGGCAGTAACCGTTACTGCATAGGCGTTGTCAAGAAGCCAGAGCCATTTAACTGGCAAGGGTGGTTGGAAGCAAGCTTAAGACACCCCATAACTACGACTCTTAGACAGGTTGGAGGGGGGCTGAGGCTTGCAGACAAGGGGAGGAGGGGCACTTGAGGGTTGGGTCTTTGCCTCCCCCCCATTCTCTGCTGTCACTCACTACCCCAACAGTCGCCCGGGGGGCGGGCCCCGGAGAGGTGGGGATGGGGGAGGGTAATCTTGGCAAGCGTCTGCTGCATGGCATAGGTAGGGACTGCTGAGGGGGGATGCGTGGGGGGGGGCGTTGAACACGAGTGGGAAGCGAAGAGGGACACGGAGAGGGGGAGGGGACCAGGGACCATTTGAATGAGAGGAGGGGATCACAGGTACAGTGGGCTCTGGAGGTAAGGCGGGCACGGGTGTGACGGGGCCAGACTCTTGAGCCAGGTAAGGAAAGCAGGTGCGTAGATCTGGGTTTTTCCTCCGTTTTTGTGTCTTTAATGTACTAGGCCCTTCGGTAGAAAGGGGGCGCCGCCTTCCCCGGGGGCGGGCTTCAAAGCTCCAGAGGCTCAACTAACGGGGCCCCGGGCGGGGGCTCAGACTCCATCCCCAGTGGCTATACCCCAGTCCGCAATTTCCAGGCGGCCACTGCGCTGGGAGTCTCGCGCCAGGGGCCGGCGCTGTCTCGCGAGCCCCCTCCTCCAGCCAGCCAATGGGATTGGTTGCTGGCACCGCCCGCCTGCCTGGTGCAGAGCGCTCAGGGCTGCAAGCGGCGCTGCCATTTAAAGGAGCCGCGACCCCTGTCCCGGCTGCTAGGGAGGGAGGTGGAGAAGGAGTGCGGGGCCGTCGCTGTCTGCAGTTCTAGGCTTGTAGCGGTTACTCTAACCCTGCCTCAGGTAGGGGTCGGGACTGATTAAGCCGAACCGAACCTGCAGGCGGGATCTCGCAGTAGCTGGGAGGGGGGTCTAAGGAGAAATCGTAGCTCCAAAATGTCTTCCTGTAAATGCCTGAGGTGGGGGGTGGGCAACAGGAGAAGGGAAAGACTAGGGGAGCAGTAGGGAAGAGGGACGGGGCTGAGGAAGTGGTCCACCCTGAAAGGTAACCGAAGGGGGAATGGTTAGGAAGGGCAGTTTGTGGGGACGGGGAAGGGCTGAGGGAGGACGGGGCTCTGCGGGGAGGGGCAGCGGGGCTGGACAGGATGGGTAGAGACTGGAAACCTGGGGGGCTCTTGGAGAGTAAGGGGGGACCGGGGGACTGAGATCGCTGGAGCGGGAAAGGCTTCTGGCTGCGGCGGCCAGAAGAGACTCTGAGGGGGCGTTCAGCCTGAGGTGGGGGGTGTGTGAGAGGTAGGGAGGAAGGAGCTACGAGTCTCGGTGGGGGGTGTCGAGCGGGTTAGAGACCAACTGCCTGGCGAGTGTGGGCACCCGGCCAGGGCGGGGAACGCCACTCCCCGCAGAGGGCACTGTATGGGGGGGGGAGTGGACATTGGGACTGAAGCCTGTGGAAATGCCCATCGGTTGTTGGGGGGGGGGGGGCTGCAGCTAATGAGAAATCCAAGTGCATGACGGGGTGTGTCTCAGCCTACATAAGAAATTCAGGCTAAGACCACCTCTATTGCCCCCTCTTCTGATCTGCAGCCCATACCCAGCCATGGATCCCAGTGATTTCCCCAGTCCATTTGACCCATTGACCCTGCCAGAGAAGCCCCTGGCTGGAGACCTTCCAGTAGACATGGAATTTGGAGAGGATCTGCTGGAATCTCAGACTGCTCCCACTCGAGGATGGGCCCCCCCAGGTCCGTCTCCATCCTCTGGAGCCCTGGACCTGCTTGATACCCCTTCTGGCCTGGAAAAAGACCCTGGAGTAGTCCTGGATGGAGCCACTGAGCTACTGGGGCTGGGGGGGCTGCTTTATAAAGCCCCCTCTCCCCCAGAGGTGGACCATGATTCTGAGGGGACCCTTGCATGGGATTCGGGAGAGCAGACCCTAGAGCCTGGACCAGGGTGCCAGACCCCTGAGGTGATGCCACCTGATCCAGGGGCTGGGGCTAGTCCCCCTTTACCTGAGGGGCTACTAGAACCTTTGGCTCCGGATTCTCCAATAATCCTGGAGTCTCCTCATATTGAAGAGGAGGAGATACCCCCCATAGCTACAAGGAGAAGGGGCTCCCCTGGGCAGGAGGAGGAGGAGGAGCATACCCAAGGGCAGCCACAGAACCTAAATGCAGCCCCTAGCCCTTCAGTGGGAGAGACTCTGGGGGATGGCTTCAACAGTTCTCAGAGCAAACCTGGGGTCTCTATCCCTGCTACACATCCTTCTTTGCCAGGTAGGTTGCCTAATCATTTGGAGGGGGCTGGGGAAAGGGTGGTGGTAAGGAGGGCTGGCTATGTGCTTTGAGAACTGAAGGAGGGGGGTAGGAGGGGGGAAAGATTAGAGTAGGGATCCGTGTGGGGAAGGAGTTGGGGTTTTGGAAGGAAGAGTGGGGTGTGGTAAAGATTATGGAAAATAGAGGTGGGAGGAGTGGGGGGGGGCTGCGCAGGATGAATGGGGTAGTATGAGGGGCTGAATTTGATGGCATAGGTTCCCTTTATCACATCCCAGTGGGCTTTCAGTCCCAGGGTCCTTCCTTCAGAATTTGAAGAAAAATAGCAGGCTTCTAGGCGCTAAAATTTTTCCAGCTGTTTGGTTCTAAAAGGGAGTGGAGTTTCTGGGTTTGGTGAATGGTAACTCCTCTCCGAAGTCCCTAAGAGCATACTGATTTCAGGGGGATGGTAGAGAGGCAGGATCTAGGATGCATCTCTGGTAGGGGAGGGGCCATCTAGACCTGAGACTCTAGTTTCTCCCTTAATCTACCTAGTGATATCCCTCCTAGGCTGTGATAAGGGTCTGCAGATATATAATCTTAAATACCACCAAAGCCCAGAGGAATCTACCCATAACATTTGTTTTTGTTGGTACAATATAAATTCTTCACAACCAGTGGGACAGAAATGAGTGGGAGGGTAGGATAATGCATTTATTTAACGGAGAAGAGCCGCACACATACCTTCCCCACTTCCACCCTAGTACAGAGTCTGAGGTAACCCTGGAAGGGTTAGAAGCCAGACACTTGAGTTTTCCCTTTCAGTTTTGAGTAAATTCTTCCTCAGGAGGGGAGGTGGGGTTTGGGCCTGGGCGGGCTCAAGATTTAGGTTACTTTCTTGCTTCCTTTGCAGGAGATGGTCTGACTGGGAAGGAGATTGAGAAGCCGCCTGAGAGGGTGAGGGGGAGGGAATCGGAAAGAATCTGGGTCCCCCATAGCCCTGAGAAGGACAGACGCTTCATTTTCCTTCCTAGATGGTGGGGGCGGGGGGGATGCTGTCAGATTCAGAGAAGGGAGGAGCTCTTGTGTCTACTGATTCTTAAGAATGAAGTCCAGCTCCCATTTCTCCTTTCTCTTCAGTGATGGGCCAAGGGTCCCAACCCTGACACCCCACCTTCTATCTCCTATTCCTTCCCCAACCTTGGGCTCCGGTTAGCTGTTAGCTTCAGCTTTCCTCCCTGCCCCTCTTTCCAAGGTGCAGAAGAGAAGCGAGCGCGTTAGAAGAGCAGAACCTCCAAAGCCTGAGGTTGTGGATTCCACTGAGAGCAGTAAGTAGGATTTGAGGAAGTGTGTCCTGGGAATTCCTGGTGTAGAGAAGAGCTGAAGGTGGGATTATGACAGGGCACGGATCTTCTGGCTCCTGTAGTTCCTCTCTGCAGAAAGAGAAGTGCCTGTCTCTGCTGTGGGTTGGCATGGGAACCAAGAGGTAGTGGGGGAAAATTGAAAACAAGAACAATAAGAATAGAAAGTTTTACGTTTCAACTATACTGTCCCTGTCCATAGACTTCTTTCTTGGAAGCCCCCTCCTGAATATTGTATAATAAACATGAGTAGCTTAAGATACCAATGTAAAGGGAGAGGAAGTATAACAGCCAGAACAAGAGGAGTCCCAGAGATCCCAGGATCAGTTTTGAACTTACTATTAGTCTGGTCATCTAATGGCTGGAGATCTGTTCTGGCGGTCTTTTCTCACTGCCCCGCCTACTCCCACAGTTCCAGTGTCAGATGAGGATTCTGATGCCATGGTAGATGACCCCAATGATGAGGACTTTGTGCCATTCCGGCCCCGGCGCTCTCCTCGCATGTCCCTGCGCTCAAGTATGGCACAAAGGGCTGGGCGCTCTTCAATGGGCACCAAGATGTCTTGTGCACATTGCCGGACACCACTGCAGAAGGGGCAGACGGCCTATCAGCGCAAGGGGCTGCCTCAGCTCTTCTGTTCTTCATCTTGTCTCACTACTTTCTCCAAGAAGCCTTTGGGCAGAAAGACCTGTACCTTCTGCAAGAAGTGCGTGGAGATCCTAGGGTGGGAGGGGGCAGGGACCAGGGGTGGGAGTTCTGGGTAAGAGAGATTGTGTTGGCAAAACCAAGCAGGATGGAGATGATAGGGTTAATTTAGGGAAGTGGTTAGAGTATTTGATTCTATGGTCCTCAATCCAAATCCTAGGGAGTACAGGGGTTACTGCTGGGATAAGAGGGTGGTCCTGGGAATGCTCAAACCTGTTCCCACCTCCAGGGAGATCTGGAACACCAAGGACTCAGTTGTGGTACAGACTGGTTCAGGAGGCTCCTTCCAGGAATTCTGCACATCTGTCTGTCTGTCTCTGTATGAGGCCCAGCAGCAGCGTCCAATCCCCCAGTCTGGGGATCCTGCCGATGCCACTCGCTGCAGTATATGCCAGAAGACTGGAGAGGTGAGGCTGCTCACCACAGGCCAATTGACAGAGCCTGCTGGCTCTGACCTGCCCCCCCTGGTTCCAGAGCTGCAGGGGCCAAGCCCCAGGGGGGAAAGGGATTTGGGTAGAAAAGGTAGCCATTCTGAGGGAGCAAATTCAAGGATAGAGCTTCTCCAGGATGTATGCAGCTGACCTTCCTTACCTCCCAGGATCTCGCCATCAAGTCTACAGCTTGACGCACAGGTTGGGGGGTCCTAGGCCCACTGTCTGCTGTGAAGGTCTAGGGTGAGGTGGGAGTTCTGTCCTTGCATTGATTGGGGTGGGCGGTGGTGGCCTGGCCTCAGCTCAGGGTGTGTATATGTATGTGTGGCAGGTCCTACATGAGGTCAGCAATGGCAGCGTGGTGCATCGACTCTACAGCGATTCTTGCTTCTCCAAATTCCGAGCCAACAAGGGACTGAAAACCAACTGTTGTGACCAGTGTGGGGCTTACATCTATGCCAGGCCTGGGAGCCTTGGCCCAGAGCTCCTCTTCCATGATGGTCAACAAAAGCGGTTTTGCAACACAACGTGCTTGGGGGCGTACAAGAAGGTGGGGCCGAGGGAGTAGTGCATTAGAGGGCTTTGGAAGGGGGTGTGGTTCTTGGGTGATAAATAAAGGTGCCTGAAGGGTCGAGGGCTGGGAAAAATAAAACAAATAAAGGGGGTTTCAATTGTATCTGTTATGTTTTATTTTTGAAGCTGGCTGGTGGACACACAGGTCTTTGTTATATCATCATCTATACTTTTTTTTGTATGCCTGAAAAATTTCATGTTTAAAAAATTTTAAAAATAAAAGTGAAGGGACAAATCCAGCCTCAGCCTCTCCTTCCCCATCCTCACAGAAAAACACACGTGTGTACCCCTGTGTCTGGTGCAAGACCCTGTGTAAGAACTTTGAGATGCTATCACATGTGGATCGTAATGGCAAGACCAGCTTGTTCTGTTCCCTGTGCTGTACCACTTCTTACAAAGTGAAGCAGGCAGGGCTCACTGGTAGGTGCAAAGCCCTCTTCTCTGAGATCCCTGCTGGCCTTCCTTCTACTTCCCACATTCCCCTCTTTTAGAGTAATTTCTGCTGCTCAACCTCAGCCCCAACCACATCTTCCCGTGGATTTTCTATTCCACTTCTGCCCTGCCTTACACCTTCTATGTGCTCTCTCTTCCTCTTTCTCTTTCTTTCTCTCTTTCTTTCTATGCCCCAGGCCCTCCCCGACCCTGTTGCTTCTGCCGCCGCAGCCTCTCTGACCCTTGTTACTACAACAAAGTTGATCGCACAGTCTACCAGTTCTGCAGCCCCAGCTGCTGGACCAAGTTCCAGGTACTCCAGACCCTAGACCAGGGGATACAGGGTGTGGCCATAGGGAAAGGGTAGGAGAACTGGGGTAGGTAGGTCTGGGTAGGGCAAAGAGAAAGCCTGACCTCCCATCCCCTCCAGCACTGCACACATCTTGCCCCTACCCCTTATTTGTCTTCCTTCCCTCCAGCGTACTAGCCCTGAGGGGGGCATTCACCTGAGCTGTCACTACTGCCATAGCCTCTTCAGTGGCAAGCCTGAGGTCTTGGAGTGGCAGGTAAGATCCCCCCACCCACCTCTTGCCACATGTTTGAAGAAGTCTTTTCGAGCTGTGCCTTTCAGGTGCAGATGTCCTAGCTGTGTCCTTCCTGTCCTGTGTTTCCATCTCAGGACCAGGTCTTCCAGTTCTGCTGCCGTGATTGCTGTGAGGACTTCAAGCGGCTTCGGGGTGTGGTATCCCAGTGTGAGCACTGCCGGCAGGAGAAACTCCTGCATGAGAAACTTCGGTTCAGTGGGGTGGAGAAAAGCTTCTGCAGTGAAGGTAAGGAAGTGAGGTAGGGACTGAGGCCCTGTCTCTTGTGACCAGGGAGGATGGCAGAGAAAGAAGCAAGGCTTAGAAAGCAGTGTGTAAGGTAGGGCCTTGTCAGAACGCTCCACTCCACTTACGCTAAGGCTTTAGGCGGACGAGGTTTCAGATGCAGTACTTTGAAAAGACTGGGTCTTATACCTGTGAATAACTCTGTCTCCAGGCTCTCTTTCCTGTTCTCCCCTTTCTAGGCTGTGTGCTACTGTACAAACAAGACTTCACTAAGAAACTGGGCTTATGCTGTATCACTTGTACTTACTGCTCCCAAACCTGCCAGCGTGGAGTTGCTGAGCAACTGGATGGCAGCACCTGGGACTTTTGCAGCGAGGACTGTAAGACCAAGTACCTGTTATGGTACTGCAAGGTAAGGAGAGTCAACATGTCAGAAAGAAGGCAACAGGGGCATGAACTGTTGTACTGGTACCAGCACCAGATCTCCAGTCTCTAGGGTGCTCTCCAAAGAGACAAACATGGCTTATCATAGAAGAGAGGGCCTGGCATATTTCTAAGAGGCAGGTCTGACCATTCTGTCAATGCCCTCAGGCTGCCCGGTGCCATGCCTGTAAGCGCCAGGGGAAGCTGCTGGAAACCATCCACTGGCGTGGGCAAATCCGTCATTTCTGCAACCAACAGTGTCTGCTGCGCTTCTACAGCCAGCAGAACCAACCCAACTTGGATACCCAGAGTGGGCCAGAAAGCCTCCTGAACAGTGAGTCTGGGACAGTGGGACTTTTCTAGAACTGGCCTAGGCTTTTTCAATGTCAAGTCAAGCCCCTTCTTCCTCTTCCTTGCATTTGCCTGTTCCCTTGCCAGATTACCACTACCTGCTCTTTTATCTTTTGGACTCTTTGGGTATTCTTCTTTAAATTCTGCAGTGAGTGCTGGTTCTCTGCAAGGATGTGTAGTTGAAGGTGTACTCAGGTAGGGTAGGACTTGTGGTGGTTATGGTTAGTTTTCAGAGAAAGGGAAGTATCAGCAGAAGCTTTACCTTCAGTGACACTGAAAACTGGTACCATTTCTAGAACATTAGCCTGGTGCTTCAGTCACTAGGAATGTTTCTTCTTCTTGGTAGCTAGAAGCAAAGAATCTTCTTGGCTACTGTTTCTGAAGCCTAGAGAAGACCAGACTTGGGTAGGAAGGAAGAAAAATCCTAGACTTTCTATTTCTAGAGAGTGCTCTTTCATAAAGCTCTCCTAGAAAAATGGTGCGGAAAATAAGAGCATTTCCTTGTTTGATTCTACAGGTCAGTCTTCTGAGTCAAAGCCCCAGACACCCTCTCAAACCAAAGTGGAAAACAACAACACAGTGAGGATCCCAGAGGAGAATGGGAATTTGGGCAAGGTCAGAACAAAAATCAAGAGGGAGGACTGTTTCAGAGGAGGGTACTATAATTGGCAGAACTTACATTCCTTTGATGCTACAGATTCCTGTGAAGACTCGATCAGTTCCAAGTGTGCCCACTCCTTCACTCCCACCACTCCCAGCAACACCCCGTAAAAACAAAGCTGCCATGTGTAAGCCGCTGATGCAGAACCGGGGAGTCTCCTGTAAGATGGAAATGAAGTCCAAAGGAAGTCAAACAGGTGAGTGCCATGATACCTCCATTCCATGGACAGTGTTCCTAAGTTGTCAGCTTCCAGCTTCATGTCCAGGAACCTAGGTTGCGCTCTCTTTAAGGCAGTTTTGTGACATTGAACACATGTTTAGAGTTTTGGGGGATGACAGATGAGTATCAGGTCCTAGATCAGATATCATTAATCTAGAAGGGGGTGCTGAAAAGAGTTTTCTTGTCTGCAGAAGAGTGGAAGCCACAGGTGATTGTGTTGCCCATCCCAGTGCCCATATTTGTGCCAGTGCCTATGCATCTATACTGCCAGAAAGTCCCGGTGCCTTTCTCAATGCCTATCCGGGTAAGTGGACTTGCCCTTCCTGACCAGTCCTCCTTTATCCTGACCAGTAGTTCTTTTTTTATTTTATTTTTTATTTTTTTTTTATTTTTTGGTTTTTCGAGACAGGGTTTCTCTGTGGCTTTGGAGCCTGTCCTGGAACTTGCTCTGTAGACCAGGCTGGTCTCGAACTCACAGAGATCCTCCTGCCTCTGCCTCCGGAGTGCTGGGATTAAAGGCGTGCACCACCATCGCCTGGCTCATTCTTTATCTAGGATTCAGGCCCACTCTCTCTGGTTTTCTCATAAGTTGGTACCCTTATCCACTGGTGTGATTCTTGACATTTTATTGGGATTTGTGTCTCTAGGTTCCTGTGCCCATGTTCTTGCCCACTACCTTGGAGAGCACAGAGAAGATTGTGGAGACCATTGAGGAGCTGAAGGTGAAGATCCCTTCCAAGCCCTTGGAGGCTGACATCCTGGCCATGGCGGAAATGATTGCAGAGGCTGAAGAGTTAGACAAGGCCTCTTCTGATCTTTGTGGTATGCAGTAGATAGCAATGATGGCGGAAATAGTGCTACCAGTTTGCCTGCCTGTAAGGGTGGGAGGTGTGGTCTTGGTGCTAAGTGGGATGGGAAGGGATGGCTGTGACCAGCCCCAGAAGCCTGTTGTGGGTGTTGGACAAGAGACTACAGTGACTGAGCTGACTTCTTTGCCTCTCAGATCTTGTGAGCAACCAGAGTGCAGAGGGACTTCTGGAAGACTGTGACCTGTTTGGCACAGCTCGAGATGATGTCCTGGCCATGGCTGTTAAGATGGCTAATGTCTTAGATGAGCCTGGGCAAGACTTGGAGGCAGATTTCCCCAAGAGTAAGTAGGATTTAAGGCATGCCCACTGAATATCGTAGCGTTGTGCTATTAGGAAAGGAGTGTTTCTTGTGATCCTGAGCATGACTCTAAAGAATGTTTATTAAGACAGGACAGGGGAGCCGGGCAGTGGTGGCGCACGCCTTTAATCCCAGCACTCGGGAGGCAGAGGCAGGCGGATCTCTGTGAGTTCGAGACCAGCCTGGTCTACAAGAGCTAGTTCCAGGACAGGCTCCAAAACCACAGAGAAACCCTGTCTTGAAAAACCAAAAAAAAAAAAAAAAGACAGGAGTTAGATGGTGGTGGCACACGCCTTTAATCCCAGTACTCAGGAGGCAGAGGCAGGGAGATCTCTGAGTTTGAGGCCAGCCTGGTCTACAGAGAATTCCAGGACAGCTAGGACTACATAGAGAAACCCTGTCTTAAAAAAAATCAACCAAACAAACAAACAAACAAAAAACAAAAATAGACAGGACAGGGTACTGTTTGGTTTTGGTTTTTGTTTTTTGAGATAGAGTCTCAACTAACCCAGCTCAGACTGTCCTTGAATTCACTCTGTAGCTAAGGATAAATTTCTGAACCTTCTGCCTGGATTATAGGTGTGTACCACCACTCCTAGCTTATATGGTACTGGGGATTGAACCCAGGGCTTCATGTATACTGGGTATATGTCTACTAGGCTACATCCCCTACCCTTTGTTTTTTATTTTTAGTTGTATGTAAGTGTGTGTGTGTGTATGGGTATGTATGAATGTTCATGAGTATACAAGTCCATGTTCAGGCCAGAGGAAACCTTGGGTATCATTCATTAAGCACTGCCCACCTCCTTTTTGAGATGAAGTCTCTTTCACTGCCCTGGCACTTGCCAAGTAGGCTACGCTGGCTGATCAGCAAGCCTCGGGGATCCACTTGTTCTTGCCGCTCCAGTGCTGGGATTATAAGTACATACTGCCACTCCTGGCTTCTCATGTGTGTGTTAGGGAATCAAACTCAGGTCCTCATGCTGGCATGGCAAGCACTTTATCAACTGAACCATCTCCCCTGTCCCCATTGTCACCATTTTATGTGTACAGTTCGGTCATGTTAAGTATATTCATGTTGCTTTGAATTTGTGAATATTTGTGTTCAATGTGGTTGATTGTGGGAATTCAATCCAAGGTCCTGTGTATGTTAGGCAAGCTCAACTACTGAGCTACCCCCA